TTAAGCAGCAGCCTTTTGGAAATCCAGTTACACCACATCTACTGGGTCCCCACTGTCCACGACGCTCCTAATGTCTTCATAGAATTCTAGCACATTAGTCAAATATGACCTGCCCTTCATGAACCCATGCTGCATCCACCCAATGGGGCATTTTCTATCTAGATGTTTTGCTATTTCTTCCTTGATGATTCAAGCATTTTCCCAATACAAAAGTTAAGCTAACCAGCCTATAATTCCCCATCTTTTGTTCACCTCCTTTTTAGAACAGTGGTGTCACATTGGCTGTTTTCCAATTTGCTGTAACTGTCCCAGAGTCCAACGAATTTTGGAAAATTACCACAAGTTCATTTGCTATTAATCCCGCCATCTCTTTTAGTACCCTGGGATCCATTCCATCAGGACCGTCTACCTTTAGCTCCATTAGCTTGCCCAGCACTACCTCTTTCATGATGATAATCATGTCTGGGTCCTCACTTACCTTAGTCTCTTTGTCATCAATTACTGGCAAGTTATTTGTGTCCTCCACTGTGAAGACCGACACAAAATGCCTGTTCAATGCCTCAGCTATTTCCCCATTTCCCTTATTAAATCCCCTTTCACACCCTGTAAAGGACCAATGTTTACCTTAGCCACTCTTTTTCATTTTATAGAAACTTTTTCTATCAGTCTTTATATTCCGAACTGGTTTAGTCTCATAATCCATCTTTTTTTTATGAGACAACAAAGTGCAGGGCTGGATGAACACAGCAGGCCAAGCAGCATCATAGGAGCAGAGAGGCTGACGTTTCGGGCCTAGACCCTTCATCAGAAAAGGGTTATAGCCTTTTTTGTGGTTTTCTGTTGACCTTTAAAGTTTTCCCAATCTTCTAGTTTCCCACTGCTCTTTGCCACTTTGTATGCCTTATCTTTCAATTTGATAGCCTCCCTAATTTCCTTAGACATCCATGGCTGATTACCCCTTTTCTTATAGTCTTCAGTTTTCACTGATACATACCTGATCTCCTCATCTAAGTTCTAAAGGGTCATCCATTCACTCTGAGGCTGTGCCCTTGCGTCCTAGACTATTCTATTAGTGGAAAGTCTCTCCATGTCCACTCTATCCAGGCCTCTCAGTATTTTGTAACTTTCAATCAGATCCCCCCTCATCCTTCTGAACTCCATTGAGTACAGAACCAGAGTTCTCAACTGCTCCT